GAGAAATGTCGCAACTCCATACGAAATGTTTCTATACATGTGGCAGTGGGCCGTACAGGATCAAACCTATAGAAATCGTATAGAAATAATTTGTATAAAAAATAACCGTATAGAAATATCCGAAGATCATATACAAAAATTCTATAGAAATTCTATACGCAATCCGTATAGAAAATTTCTATACGATTTTTTCATACGTGTTGACCCTTGCAAGGTACGGCCCTTGTGACATTTGACCCTTGCAAAGTATAACCCTCGTGAAATTCAGTCACGAGGATTACTGCACTGATAGTCGGGTACGGGGTTTTCTACCAGTTATTTACCGTTTTCACCATTCAGAGGTAAATTACCAGTATTCTACTTGAATTATTATTTCTCCAACCGCTAGTATTCATATTCAATACTATTTAATTGCTGTAAACCACAAAATGGCCTGGAGGAGTATGAGAATATTAAATGTAGTATTCGACTATGAACCGTAGAAAACCCTGATTTTCAGTGAATGGCCCAACCCTCTCTAACAGACGGTATTCACAATCCCAGTGAAAATATTGTTGCGTACCCCCCTTCGAATCCTGATTCAATTGTCTATCATCGAACGTATCTCAAGAAGCCCCCTTGGTAACGATTGTCTTTTGCATAACTTGGATATTTGACGGATTTTCGTTGGAGCTCTTGTGCGATACTCATCGTATTTACTCTGTTGTAATTAATAAATCGCGCCAACCATTCAAGTTTTGAATTAACCTGTGTGATTGATTTATTCTTCGACGAATACAACAATATCATGGTTTCCCGTTACGCCAATAAACAGCGTCAGATAGGTTTCTGAAGTGTCGAAAACTCCCATGCAATTCAGCTGAGGTAATGCCCAACGCTGGTCTTCACGCAGGTGATAGAAATTACATGTCAGTAGAAAAGGTCATTAGTTCTGAAAAACTGGAGAAATTCCCAGTTGAAAACTATGTTTCCTCACAATAAAAAAAATAGATAGTAGACAGACGACATGTAATAAATTACATGCAACTGTTACTGCACGCGTTAGTAAACTTTCTCTCTTCATTTCTATCAATTAAATTGCTAGTAAGCTTTCGGATCCCAAGTTACTCTTTAGTATATTTGATCATCATGAAAATGGACAAATGAGGTAGTTTGTGAGTTATTTGATAGTAGTATATTACGATACAACTGAAAAAAGTCATTGTTCTTCCTGAGGAGTGTGATTCCAGACCTCGCCTGGAAAAGTCCCACGAGTATCCGCACTCGTACTCTTTTCCGCACTCGTAACGAAATATACTAATAAATTAAGGGTGGCGTGTAACACCGAACATATTTCACAAAATCCAATATCAAAGATCATTTTTCATGAAGTTATTTATGCTTAAAATGTATTACTGTTTTCATGAAATAAATAAACTTTAAATTAAAAAAAAAGTAACTCACACTCGTCAGGAAGTATATTTTTTCATATATATCGCATGATATTTTATGATACTGATGAGAAAAGGGAGGTTCTTTGCGCGCGAAGCGTCCAAAAAAGTGCCCTCTTTTTCACTCTTATTATAAAATAGATTTATACAAAAAAGTTGAATATCTCCGAAACGCTCGGGCGATTGCATCCATCCAACATACCAACTTTTAACGTTATGATGGCTATCATCATACCAAATTTTAACTTTGTAATTTCTTACGAAAAATTGGTATGCATGAGTATACTTTTTTTGATTGTTCTAGGTAGAGATCACCGAAGCGAGGATTCAAAAAAAATTGTTTCAATTCAACGCGACGCGTTCGTGAATCACTGCCTATAGCCGTTATGACAAAAAATATTGTTCGTCACACGGCCTAAAAAACTTTTCTAGCTCATATGATTGAAACTCGTATTCACTAAAGAAGTTTTTTCGGCCTAATGACGAAATATACCATTTTGAGTCATGACTAATTCCATTTTGATGACAATTTTTTAAGTGGTCGTTGAAAAATCGATTTTTGGAAAAATATCAATTTTTTCGAATCTGTACGAAAAATTAAATTCTAATTGGTGTCAATAAAGAGAGATTATTAAAGTCTATATTCATAAAAAAATTATGAAATCCGATTGATCTCATATAAGAAAATTTCGAGAAAAAAAATGAAGAAAAAAGATCACATACATACATGCATAGTACACCATCTAAAAAATGCATATTCGGACTTTTTAGGCAACATTTTGTTACCTTAATACAAAAAACAGGAAACTTAAATTTGAGCGATCACAAAGGTTCCCTGCGGAAGCAAAAATGACGGTCATTTTCAAAGTTCTTATTTTTATCATAATTCTCAGCTCCTCGATCTTCAAAATGCACCGAATATTCCCCTCAAGTTTCTTTGTGTATCGAGGATCAGGATAAGTCTTGCATTAAAACACTGAATGCGCAGCGCGAGTAGAGCTTATCGCTCTCGTTGCTACGCAACGAAACTATCGGAAAATAGCCGATAATTTTGAAGGTCTTGGGGTATAGCTGATTGTTACATTCTTTATGAAGAACAAAACAAACAAATTCTTGGTGCATATCTGACTCATCTTCTGTTTCTGTATCACTCTTTGACTAAGCTGATAATCAATGAATAATTAATGAACAAAGAAATATGCAGGTAAGTTTTGTAAAGTTTTTATTCGTCGTCTTTATCACCTACAATTAATACAATAGTATTTTTATATACAAATATACAATATACAAAAGGCACAATATATCTACATAATTCAGTTCATATACATAAGAAAGGAAAGAAATTACAAATTGTTTTTATGACATAATGAAGAACATGCTCGTATACAAAGCTAAAAAGTTTCATTCCTTCTCATCGTAATTTGATTACTGTGTTTTCACTTCACTACCATTTTCACTCCGTTTGATTCATTTTTTATGTATAAAAACCCACAAAAAATGAAAACAAATATTATAGAAATAAGGCATTTTACTGTAGTTATCGAAATATGTCAGAAAAAATTGGGCATGTTATTACGTATACATTAGTTGTTACATGCAAAAGTGTAAAACCTTTATAAAATCTCTCCAATTTCCTTCAAAAAGTCTTTCTGTTCTTCCTTGTTATTTAGAAAAATTTCTTTCTACTCCTAAATTTCTATTTTTGTTCAATACACGTTGAGTATCACTCGAATTATTAGAAAAATGTCTATAAAAATTGTGGTTATTCATTAAAAAAATTCTCAGCCAGATCAAAAAGCTCCTTAGGAATGTAAAAAATATATCTTTCTTTATTCAATATTTCGTTATGAGAAAATTTCCTCATATTCATTTCTCAATTAATTAATTTTATACTTTTTATGGAAGAAAATGATCCAATTCCTTCGCTTTTTATTCCACAGGCTCAAAAAAATTATCAAATGAACAAAGAACTGTCCAATATTTTTAAAGCGCTTGGCACATGATCAGAAAATTAATGAACGAGGATAAGGATGAATGATTATCCTAGGTTTCATGCGAAAAAAACATTCTAGTAGTGTGTGCTAAGGCGAGATGAGTGAATTTTACTTCATTTTTTCCAGTTTTTAATGAATAGCTCCAACAGAAAAAATCCTTTCATAATGAAAACTCATCTGTTTAAATGTGATGTTCACTGATCTCCTTATAACACCTTACCATGGATTTCATGAACAGGGAATAAACATTGGTAGATAAATTTCGCGCTCAAAACATTAACCAGGAGCAATAATGAATGAATTGCAAAAAGAACGAGAACAAACGAGACTCCATAATACTGATTCAATTACTTTTATAATTTTTATGAATTATGAATTTGAGCGAATGAATTTGTTTAATCAACAATTTATTTTTCACTTCCATTTCTCATAATTATTGATTTACTTTCATTGCTTCGTTGTTGTATGATTGATTATTTAATCATCTCGTTCATAGAAAATACGGGGAAAAAATTTAATTCATGAGAAGATCTTAATGACATAAATTAACAATGAAATTAATGTTCACCAGAATCAAATGAACACAAAACTGGTTTACTGCACATTTACCATTTTCAATTTTTCTCTTTCATTTGGTTCTTATGGCATGGTTCTAGTATTTGGTTTCTTTCTCTTGTTAACATCAATAATAAATCAACGGTTAATTAATTAATTAATGATTTAAAAAAATATATTCGATTACAGAAAAATAAATTAAACATTCCATTAATTTTTCTTCTTTTCATTTGATCTTATAATGCGATCAAACTATTAATTACTTTTATGCTATTCATGTAAAAGTTAAACATGAGACAAAATATTCGAGCTGCATCTGTTCCCTAAACTAATTAATCAACGACTTAATTGAAAAATTAATATTTTTCAAATAAATATACAAATTTCAATAATTATTGACAACGTAAAAATGGAAAAATGAAAATCGATTATTTACAGTATTCTCTTTCGAGATAAACAAAAGAGAAATTTTTTTTCGAAGATAGAATTCAATGAAGGAATTAGCAAAGGAGCAGTGCAAAATGGATCAAAAGTTTATTCTGCAAATATCTTCAAAAGAAGAAGGTTAGAGGAAAATGGCAAAAGACTCAGAACATTTTTTGGACTACTAAAAGGATCCATTGGCATTTCCCTTGAAACCTAATACTCCCAACAGATATTTACAAAAAACGTACTTTCAGGTGGTTTGTGCGAAAAAGGTGAATAATGACATTCATCTGGAATTCATATAGAATATTTATGATCATAATTGAATTATCTATGAATTTTCCTAGAATTTTTTCCAATTTCCTTTTCGAGTTATTAACGATTGAAGTCGCTTCTTATACATGGGCTCTTAAGGAGATTTTTCTGTTTAGCATGAAACTATATTATCAGCTCAGATGATAACGCAGTTTCGTGCTAAACAGATGACTCTTCATAAGAGCCGATGTATAAGAAGCGACTTCAATCGTTGATAACTTGAAAAGGAAATCTGAAAAAAAAAACTAGAAAAATTTATAGATAATTCAATTGTGATTATGAACATTCTATATGAATTCCAAGATGAATGCAATTATTTACCTTTTTCGCACGAAACACCTTAACACCGATACAACTTTTCTTGACAAAATAACTCATTACACACAATAGAGTCCCTTCATTTTATTACACATGTAATGTTTTGCATTAAAAGCTTGTCAATAAAAATTTGAATCCACGCAGTCCAATAAGGATTTTCATTTAAGAATATTGGGGAAATAATCATTTCGCCACTCCAGCTCGACTCTTCGGAAAATAATGAAAAATGTTGGTAAATATCATCATTGCCGATCATATTCATTCGAGCTTGTAAATATATAATTTATGGTGTGTAATTGGGCACGTATGATTTAAAGTTGTGCAATTTCAGAAAAAGAAACGAAATTCATAAAACTCAGGCCCGGACTGGTAGATTTTGTTTTATCTAGTGTAATAAGAATGTGAGAATTATAATTCCTGTAGGCCAAATCTTAAGACAAAATATTGCATCAAAAAATGAAGGGTCTCCATTGTGTGTACTAGGTCATTTTGTCCAGAAAATGCTATATCGTTGTTACGCTTTTACAGAGTAATCGATCGAAAATTCGTTATTCAGTTCCTTTCTTTACTTCACTAGATGAATTATCGATTTTACACGCATATACGCGAAAAAAGTCGCGAGTATGAAAAAACGATCCGGCAGTTGTTGCTCTTGTTTGTTCAGTAATTATAAAACTAACCAGATTATGTATAAAATCTGGGCACAGGGAATTATTTAGATATATATTTTATTTCGCATTTTAGCTGTATTTGTTCCTCGGATGTTTGATTCAGCAAAAAATTTTCGACACTCAATATTGTAACAATTTATGTAGAAAATTCCGCATATTCAAGTACTCACAAATTAAGTGGAATGAAGGGAAAAATTAATTTTCTGTACGAAATTTGAATCTTTCAACATTTTCCCCCTCCACCTAACAAAATAATATATTTCTTTTTCTCATATTTGACGTGATTCGGATTCATTGTAACATGAGTGACTCCAAATTTCTGTGTAAAATGGTATCTTTAACAGCATTGAACACAACTTTAATATTCTCAGTATCAACAGCTGTTGTAAAATGATGAAATAGAGATTTACGTGGATCACGTTTAACAGATATAAACATATTGAGTATAAAGCTCTGTACGTCTTTAATGGAATGTGAATCGCCGTTAAATTGGGGGAAATACCAACTTACATTAGTGTCTGACGATTTGACTTTCTTCTCAAGTAAATCAGTTTTGTTGAGGAAAAGAATTATGGATACACCACCGAATATCATGTTGTTCACTATCGTGTCGAAGATGTTTCTCGATTCTTCAAGTCTGTTAGTTCTCCTGCGGACAATAAAAATGTTTAGAAACTTGAAATGTTTAAGGGGAGACTACTATGAGTTTTAAAAGTCGCGGGGTATTGGAGTGAGATTTTGTATACATTGACGATCGATTATAGCTGCCTAAAAACGAATAAATAGTGCAAAAAATTAATTGCTCATTGTTGGTTTGCCCCGTACACACTTAAAATGTTCAAAGTAGTTCAGAGCCTGCAATTTTTAAGCTATAGAGGTTTTTTTTCAAAATTTTTGAAATTCAATAACAATTACGAGCTAGTCTTTTGAAATTTGACTCCTGCACAGCTATTTCGTTTGTTTTAATGTAAAAAATTGTACCATTCATGTAAAATAGAAAAATGTTTCTGACAAAATGCAGAATATATTTTCAATATTTTGAAGATCATTTTTCTGGCTATGTTACATGAATGGTACATTTTTTAAATAAAAAAAAGAAGTTGGTTATGTAGGGGTTGAATTTCAGAAAGCTGACTTGCAATTGCTATTGTACTTTTTTCAAAAATTTTGAAAAAAACGCCTCTGTAGTTCAAAAATTGGAGCCCCTGGACTTTTTTTAAGACTTCAAGTGACTGCGGGGTAAACAGACAATGAACAATTAATTTGTTTGCACTAATTATGTTTTTAAATATATGAGCAGATCCACGCCAAATGGGGATTTTCGTCTCATTTCTTTTGAAAAGATGGCAAATAGACAAAAATTTGAAAAAAAGAAAAAATAGAAAAACACGGATAATTGAAGGAAGTGTGATTATTTGAAAATTGCTAGTTTTTGTACAAAAAAATATTTTTTCCAAATTGGCCCCAATTTCTCTGCGGGGTTTCAAGCTATCAAATCGCCCTTTGGTACACTCAAAGAACATGAACAGCTCTTCACAATGAGACGTCATGCATAACATTATCTTCCGTTTGACGGGGTTTATACGAGAAAACGTTTTTTCAAATCATTAATTACTCAAAAGGCTAATTTTTTTTTAATTTGAAATTTTCATAAAAAATTGTTAATATGTCCACAATTTTGGCACCAATTAGAGTTTATCTTTCACTGTAATAGGGCGGTTATTAAGTTTTTCATTGAGACAAGTATTGAAAATGATCGAAAATTGCTATTATTCATGCAATTATCGCCTAAATAAGTGAATATTCTATCAAATATGGAATATAGTGGAGGTTAGACTCATTACATTTTCTATTATTTATCTTCAGTATAATTTTTTGAGTGAAAAATGATTATTTCTCTAATTATACAATGGAAATACATTTTTCAAAGAGCTTTCATTTGTTGGTAATCGAGAATTTAATTGAATTGACTCATTTTTAATTATTCAATTCAATATTCACTCATTTGGGGGATAATTGCATGAATAATAGCAGTTGTCGGTCATTTTCAATACTTGTCCCACTGAAAAAAATTGTAACCGCCGAACTACGGCAAAAGACAAACTCTAATAGGCGCCAAAATTCCTTTCATTTTATTCACAATTTTTGGTGAAAATTTCAGATTAAAAAAAAAAAGCTTTTTTGGTAATTCACGATGAAACAAAAACGTTTTCCCCTATAAACCTCATCGAATTGAAGATAATGGTATGTATAACGTCTCATTTTTAAGGATTTTTCATGTTCTTTGAGTGTGTCAAAGGGCGATTTGATAGCTTGAAACCCCGCCGAAATATTGAGCTCAATTTGGAAGAAGAAAAATTTTTATACAAAAAGTAGCCATTCTCAAAAAATCATAATTCTCTCAATTATCAATATTTTTTATTTTTCAAAATTTTTCTTTTTTCAAAATTTTTGTCCAATCGCCATCTTTTCAGAAAAAAACATTGAGACAAAAATTCCCAGCATCGACTTTTTGCGCCTGCTGATTTGATGCGGATCTGTTTTATTTGCACTGTTGTGTACTTTTTAGGAAATTTTGTCAATTTTGGATAGTGAATTTTGCTCTTTACGTTTCACCAATCCTGCCAGATTGGATGCATGGCTGCAAATATTATTATTATTTGGAACTTATAATTTTTCATTTTTAGTTATTTCATTATAGGCAATACACAATTTATATTCCAGCAAATAATTTTTCTTCTACTTTAAATCATCAATGTAAATAAGGAAATTTGTTTTCCTCCTGGCAAAGGCTCTTACCTGTCTTCCAATAAAACTTGATCGAACTCTGATGATGAAACGAGAAAAAGAATCGATGTAACACAGTCGAAACATTGATACCACTTTTGCCTCTGCGATCGTTGTCCTCCAACATCGACAAACAAAAATGGTATATTATTTATTGGAATAACAAATTCAGAAATTCCTTTCGTTGCCTTCCTGCAATGTAATATATCTTGATGGGTTGGCACATATTCCTAGAAGATAAAACAAATTTAATTGTTATTAAAAAATAAACATAGATAAGCAATCGATGTACAGGAAAAAACAGACGAAAAAATGTGAACTGACTAAAATTTTTCGATGAATTCCTTCACATATTGTTATAATCGACTAGAATTGTAAATCTGTGTCAATCAATAGATTCACAATTATCATTGGTGCAGAACTAAGAAATAATCTCGCTGATAAGAAAGTCTAGGAAGAATTATCAAGAAACTTCTGTTATTAAACACTATCTAGGCTAGAAAAAAAAGATTCTGACATTGAGATGCAATATTCTCCATTAGTCATCTCGAACTCAAGTTTATGACTTAGAAAAATATCTGGAAACCAACTCGTTCAATTTGAGTCTTTTCTAAAATGATGTTTATGCAGCACTAAAATCTTAATTTTAATTCGACGTTCATGAAATTTCTTTCATTCAATGATGATTAAACACAGTTATGTTATGAGAAGATTAATAAAAAGAATACATTGACGCAGATGGGCAATTATCAATCAAAATTTAATCATCAAATTCCAAACGTCCCTGCCGAAACGTTTATTAATGTAAATTAATTACCACTCTTGCAATTCGGTCCAAATGATCAAGAAAATACTGCACAGAGTCGCTCTGAAACAAGAAAAAAATATCATCAGTATGTGAAATGAACGCAGTTCAGAATTTCAAGGCGATAAGAAGTTTTATGTCATTTCGTTTCTTCAAAAGCCAAGCTTTACGGCAGGAAATGGATTTAGCGAAAATTATTCCACGATTACGTAAAGATTATCATCTGTGTCACCACTGGCAATTAGTCATCTCTTCTTTCACGTATCTTTAGTTCTTCAATAGAAATATTATTTGAGCCATAAACTAACGGTAAAACTCAATTTCTCAAAAACTATTTAAAACCTTGGCAAAAATTGGGCAATTGCAGTTAAATATCAATTTCTCATGAATGTTTTAAAGAATGAGTATTGCTAAGAGGACTCATTAGCAAACCTTTTTCTAGAGAATTTTCTCATCTACAAAATAGATTTGACATCTGAAACACTCATGAACAAGGAGAATGCATGATGAGTGGAGATTTCTTATTGGATGTCAATGCATTACTCCTTTGTTCTTTTGGATGAACTTATGGAAATAATTGTCATGCATTACCAGTTGGAACTCTCTTCTCCGGTCGAATGCCTTCCTGATGGACGCATCGCGCCACAAACTCTCCAATGAGGGGACATAATGCAGAAATAATCTTGCATCCAGTATGATTGTATTTTCAAACTTCAGTAGCTGATACCCGATGTCGTAATTCTTTGGATTTTCCCATGGTATATTCAGCTTGTCACGTGCATCAACCAGCACTTTCATACCTTTTATTATGTTCTGGTATATGACATGCTGATATTCTTTGACCAACTCCGGCTACAAAAGAAAATAAGACACAAAAATTCATAATCAGTTTTGAATATTTGAAATGCTAATTGTGAGGAAGTGATTATTTCCAACAACTGAAACAACGCAAACTGCTGATTCTATCATTAAAATGTTCCATTCATTCCAAAGCTGATTTCTATCCCTCAGAAACTTCTCACAAACCCTTCACTGACCAAACCAATAAAAATCTCTGATAAAATCGTAAATGGAGATAAGTCGAGAGTTCACATGCAGTTTATTTTGTGAATAGCTTCGGAGTGAAGAGGTTCGAGAAAATTTACCAAGAGACCTTTTTCTTGCATTATCCTATCACTCCATAAATAAAATAAATCGTCTATTCGTGACCATCTACAAAACCAAGTTGAATTAAAAACAAGTGGACAATTGCATTTCTTTATCAATGAGTACAGGATAAACAGGTCAATTTGTGGACGGGGGTTGGTTTCTGGAAGATTTCAACTTGCATTAAATATTCCATAAATAAAATGAAAATTGTACTGATTATTTCCCCCTTCAATAATATTAGTCGTGTATAATCATGTGATCACTTATTTTTTCTATTGGTCGATATTCAATAAATGAAGAAAAATATGGCCCAGTCGTCCAGAAATTAGGGGTTTCGGCTGCATTCAACTATTTCTGAATTTAATGATTCTTTGTTTTGTTATTTTCACTTCAAATAATTTTTTGCTGCTAATTAAAAGATTCTTGAAGGTATGGAAGCCCCATTTCGGTCATTCTTTCATTTTAAATCTTACCGCGAAACCCGAATTTCCCTAAACCGTCCAGCAATTGGCCTGTCCACCCTACCCTAACACAATAAATTGAAAACTTAAATTTGAGCGAGTACAAAGCAAAAAAAAACTATTCTGAGAATTCTAGAAAGTGACTAGCTCGAACGTGTAATGGCTGTACTACTGAAAACTTTTAAATGTCAAATACACCAAATTCAGTTTTCTATCATTCTAAACAGTTCAATATTGCTCACAAAGTACAACTCACAAACGAGAAAAATTAATTCCCATCTAGAGAATCCTTTGCTCCCCACTTTATGAAGCAATAAACTCTTTCATTCTCATGATAAATACTATTATTAGATTAAAATGTATGGGCCGTGATGCTGCACTGATTTCGATCGTACAACATTTCTCAACACAGGTGTAATTTTTTTCGTCGAAAAAATATTGTAGACACACAAAATGATCATAGGGAGGATGAAGTGAACGCTTCGAGGTATTATTCAACACAAGTGCAGCCTTCGAAGTTCAAGTCCAAGGATCTATCTTCTTACATATGGGAAACTACACCTTAGGAAACCAACGCAAATGTTTCATCTACTTCCATTCATTAGAGATAATTGACAGTTATGCTTTTCCAAGACAAGAAAATGATTGCTTTCTTCCACATTTTAGAACAATAAACCTCAAGACAGTGCCTCGTTCACTCCGAAAATTATTCATTTCCCTCAAAATCATTAAACTACATCCTAGAAAGTTAAAAAACAATCATTCGCCCATCTCCACTCATAGGAGATAGTAAAATTTGCGAGAAAAAAAACCTAAAAATATGAAACCACTAAGAAACTTTCAGCTAGAAAAAATTCAATACTTAAGGATATACAAGGATCTTTTACAGTTTGGTACAGACCGCACTATAGATTTAACCATTTTCCAATCATCAAATTTAACAATTAAATTGCGTGAGAACAATTTGAAAAAAAATCATGGATATCCAGTGTCATTCAAATTACATTTTGCATAGAATTAGTATTTTTTTAAACATTAGTTGTTTATAAATAAATAATTGAAGTTGTTTAAATTTTCTGAAACCTTATTTTTTTAGGCATGAAATCGATTTCTGGTAAAATTCTGAATATAAATAAATTTGTTCATTCCAAATGAATGATTTTTATGGTGGAGAATTGATTGTTTATAAATTATTTATTCATTTTAAAAATTGAAAAGACGTATAGGAAATGAAAAAAATTGAAGTGCTCGGGATTTGACTCGGATGGGTATAGAAGCTAAATGACTCATAAAATGCTCGTAATTTTCAAAAATTAGAATTTTTTAATTATTTCATTAATCTTCTCCCGACAGTAAACATTCTAATTTTTTTTTCTCAAATTTTAGAAGTGTCTTCTAACGTTTGAATATCGAGATATAAATTCAGATCTGCAAGGTTTAAATAATAAAATCATTGTAAAATGTCCGGAAACTTAGAGTCGAATGAGGCTCAAATGAAAGCTCTCTTTTACAGTTTGGTACAGACCGCACTATAGATTCAACCATTTTCAATCGTCAAATTTATCAATTAAATCCCGTGAAAAAAAATTGAAAAAAATTATGAATATTCACCGGCGTTCAAATTACGTTTTGCACAGAATCATTATTTTTTTAAACATTCGTTGTTTATAAATAAATAATTGGAACTGTTTAAACTTTCCGAAACTTTATATTTTCAGGCATCAAGTCGATTTCTGGTAAAATTCTGAATATGAAGAAATTTATTAGGATTCCGAGCAAATGATTTTTATGAAGAAAATTCATATTTTATAAATTAGTTATAGAAAATGCTCATAATTTTCAAAAATTGCGATTCCTAAATCATTTTGTCAATCTTCCCCCAGAAGTAAACTTTCTTTTTCTTTCCGATTTTGTGAATGTTTTCTAATGGATCAACATCAAGATACAAATTCAGACCTGCAAAGTTTAAATAGTAAAATCATTATAAAATGGCCGGAAACTTAGGATCAAATGGGGCTCAAATGAAAGCTCTATTTCTTACAGTTTGGTACAGACTGCACTGTAGATTCAACCATTTTCAATCATCAAATATGTCAATTAAATTGCGTGAGAAAAATTTGAAAAAAATCATGAATATTCAGCGTTTTATTTTTCACTTATTACTTTTTTTAATATTCGCTTTTTATAAATAAATCACTGAAATTGTTTAAACTTTGGGAAACCTTATATTTTCAAGCATAAAATCGATTTCTGGTCTAATTCTGAATATGAAGAAATTTGTCACGATTCCGAACAAATAATTTTCATGGTGGAAAATTGATTGTTTATAAATTACTAACAGAAAATGATCGTAATTTTCAAAAATAGAAATTTTTAAATCTTTTAACGGTTCAATATCGAGATACAAATTCAGACCTGCAAAGTTCAAAGAAAAAAATCATGGTAAAATTTTCGGAAACTTAGGGACAAATGGAGCTCAAATGAAAGCTCTGATGCTCGACTACAAAAGTAGACTGGTAGCGTTTGACTGGCGAAAAAATAGCCAAAGTACTTGGATATCCTTAATAAGATTCGATTTGAAGTGATCTCAGAAAAAAACGTAGAGAATTTCCCAGTCCACAAAGAACGTCTTCCAACATCAAATCCCAATTCTACTCATCACCGAGATAATCACATAATTGACAGATATTATTTACCTAAACAGCAAAAAAAATCATTTTCTTCTCAGCTCAATCCTTGATAATGTCAGGAGAAAATATCGAAAGATAAATAGGATTAGCACTTAATATTTTTTGATATCTAGTCCTTTTCTTATTCATCACCGAGATAATCACATAATTGACTGACATTATACACCAGGACAAGAAAATTATGGTTTTCTTCAACGTTCTAGAGCAATAAACCTCGTCACAGTACCTCATTTCCTCCGAAAGTTATCTATTCTCTCCTCAAAATCATAAAGCTACATCCTAGAAAGTTGGAAAGAAAAGCCAATCATTCATCCATCTACACTCACAGAAGAAAGTAAAATCAACGAGAAAAAAAGCCTGAAAGAGATCAAACTCCTGCGAGGCTCTCAGTGCCCCTAGATCTGTACCAAAAATCATTTTACAGACAGAACAAATGCAAAGCCGTTGCCTAGGAGTTATCGATAACTCGTGATAATGACAATTAACACCTCTTCCAAAGTAAATAAATACTCACTTCAAACTTGATACCATGAATAATTCGCATCTGTTTGAGAAACGTTGATTTACCACTTTCACCAGCACCGAGTAACAGTAGCTTGACCTGTCTCCTGAATGCCTGTCTATCCTTCTCAAGCATCCTATCAATCTCCTGGCTCTTGTACCTCTGTTCAATCTCCTCAGGACTGAATTTGAATCTCAAACAACAAGTGCATGACCACGTTAAGGAGCCCGCCATCTTAGACCCCTTCAATCTCCCTTCACAAAAACAATTAAGATTTTTTTTTAATCACTCTTTCGCGTACTTTTACCTCCCGGTGGTGTTCTCGCTGTGATACATATTTATTTTCATTTTTTTCCCAACATTTTGCGGTGATAAAGCCACAAACATTTGAGGAATAAATAATAATAAAATTATTTCAGGTGTATTTAACCTCTTTTAGGGTAAATGCAGGTGACTTCATGTCGACATTTCACCTGGGCGTTCACTTCCACATATTACCAATTTGCATGAAACAATTTCACTATTTTTTAAAACCAATCTTCGAGAATTTTAGCATTTTTTTTTATAAACGACGGCTAAATTCTAATTTAGATATTTTTTCATCCATGTTTTATGTGAAATTAATTGTCATGTGAATCTTCTTTGGTGTCTTGAGGATGTGGAAATTATTGAATAATCACTTCGGGGTTAATTGGAGGGGATTTGAGTGAGTTTAAAGGTTGAATGCATTAAATTGTCCCGTATTCATTCGTTTATTTTGAGGTTCAATTTCTTTTTGTGTATGACCGTGGTATTAGTTCTCTCCTCTCTTTTTTTGACCATTTTATAACTTCGCTTGATGCTTTTACTGTCTCTAGGGCGTCCGGTTTTCTCCGACACGTCAGAAGTTATATTTCTTTTCTTTTTTTTTTCACCGCTTTTTTCACGATAATTATTGCAAGTTGAATGGTGTTTTCAAAATGGGGATTATTCACTGGGATTGGGGGTACAGGCACTGAAGTTTTCTTGAGAGAATTGGTAGAATTTTTGGATTGTACTACATGATAAACTGGATGTGATGAAAATCGTGTGTGCCGCACCGCAAACGGGAAAACGGAGACTCCCCCCCTTTCTGCTCCCCCACTACTGCATTGTTGTCAGTCACACGAGTATGTCATGTTGGGTAGAGGGGGAAATGTATGAAGCTCTGTTTTGCCGACTGATTGTGCACATGCGTTGATAATTTTATGTGCAACTTTAATTTTTCCTTCAAAAAAATTCAATTTTATTTTTATTTTGAAATTTTGATATTTTATTTCGCTTGTGATCGATTCAATTGTGGAAATATTTAGGAAAGTTCCGATTAGATCAATTGATTTTTTTAATCTTTTGCCAGGTGGAAATGAGAGAGAAATGTCATATTCGTCAGTCTTTTCTTTTGTAATCATTCTTCACTGGAAAATTTGCGCTGAGCTTGTTGACGGAATAAATTGGGAGTGTAACAAAAGAATGTGAATACGTGAGACTTTTCTGTTATGTGTTTATTAAAATGCGCGAGTCGGAGCCATACCATTTCAGTAAACTTATATGCACTTGCGAAATTTTAATATTATGCTTTGATTCATCGGCGCAAAAGTAAACGAATGTTTGCAACATATTTTGGATTCACCGGTGAATCATTCGTGTAGGCGTGGCCATTGTTCAATTTTTTTGGTGGAGGTAAAAAAAAGGTGTGGTGTCTACGTTACCGGCGGAGGAGTGTCTAATCTAAGGTGAATTCTCAATGATCGACAATGAGAAATTTCAAATCGAAGGAGAAGCAATAATGAATTGTTAGTATGAACAAATTTGCACGATTGTCCGCTGCTTCGCTTGAACAACAAACAAATGGACAATGGAATTTTTTTATAGTTAAGTATAGTAATTGTTACTAATAAATTAGCAATTTGCGTCCGAATGGGTTCTCCTTTTTTAAAATTCTTACTTTCCTTATTGTCTTCTTCTATTTTTTCATGTCCTAGTACTATCATTAATTGAAATATCATCAAAATTTTGCATATTATTTCATTCTGTCCAATAATTCTACATTCAGACCTTCTCTCACGACGCGAATTCGTTTTCAGTTCGGATTTTATCAAGGATTAATCAACGTTAAATCAATAGTTCATACACTGTACCTGATCCTCTATCAAGTTCGGAGTCCACGAATTCTGATGTGTGGAATTGATGTTTTTTGGGTCGCTGATTCCAAATCTGTCTGTTACTTTTTCAAAAAAGCCGGAATTTCATTTGTTATTAACAATTCAATTGTATGAACAATCATATCGTAAAAAGTTACAGATGGAAAAAAAGTTTCGAACAAAAGATGTTTGGTATGTAAAAATACACATTTTTTGTGGTATAACTTTTTTCTCTAACTACGATAGATAATGAGTTATGGGGTTGGAGCAGAGCCGCTTGCGCGTTAGCACTTGCACGAGGTGAAGGCGCGCTTCGATTCGTTTACCGGGAAACTCGATGGAGAAGAGAAAAATAGTTCAAACTAAAAATGTTCGCCAACAAATTTCACATTTAATTAGGGTTTTGAAATTTACCCCTACTCTTAGCCGCGAATGAGATATTAATGGCCTGGTGTTCCATAATGAGGGAAATTACCTATATATAACGCTTTTGTTCATTATAGTGTCACGTGGAACCGCTTTGAAATAGGGAGAAAAAACTCGCATCAAAGTTGTTTTCCCATCAAAAATATATAGATTTGGTGTTGTATCTTTATGTCATATCTCCATTCTTTACAGAGGTATAGCCCGTTAAGAGAGCGCGGGCGGTTCACGCGCTCACTGGTCCATACATTGTATATACCTGATCCTGTATCAAGTTAAAAGTCCCCAAATTATAGTGTGTGGAATTATTTTTTTTTGGATCGCTGATTTCGAATCTGTCGGTTACTTTTTTAAAATTCTGGCGTTCTATTTGTTATTAACAATTAAATTGTTCAAACGATCATATCGTAAACACGGTCACAGATAGAGGAAAACGTTCCGAACAAAAGATGTTTCGTATGTAAAAATACACATATTTTATTATATAACTTTTTTTCTCCAACCATGGTAGATAAGGAGTTATTGGGGGAGGGAGCGAAGCGGTGCGTTAGTCCTTACGCGATGTATCGGCGGTGAGCGCGTGGGCCACCCGCGCTCTCTCAACGAGCTATTTCTCTGTAAAAAATGGAGATATGACGAAAAGACACAAAAACAAATCTATGTATTTTTTATGGCAAAACAACTTCGATGCGAGTTTTTTCTCCGTATCTCGAGTCACACAAAAACTTCGTGAATGAAAAATCCATAAAAATTTGTATTTTTACTTTCAAATATATGGAACACGTCAACATCTTTTTCGGATTAAACTTATACCAATGAATTATTAAAATCTTCTGAAAACTCGACTCGCTGAAAATCTCCATGTTTAACCTCAAAATTTCATAATTTTGCAATTTTCGAATAATTTCATCACTGCTCACCTCGCATATCCCGAAGAGGTTAGCATGGTGTCTTTTTTAAGGATAATTGGGCGAGGAGGAGATGTAGGAAGTGAGGCAGAGGGGTTTCTATTGTTTTCCTGCAGAAAACCAATCGCTGAACAAAACAATTTTTCCCATTCGGATTCAAAATTTATTTATTGTTAAACATTATTTATGGAGCTAATCAAATTTTTTTGTATCTGTTCCACGCATTGAATGGTTTTCAGATTGTTTTTTTGTAATAAATGAAAAAATATTAATCCATGCGAAAAAGTGGCAACATCGTCGGTAGTTTTTTTTTTCACCAGGAGCTGGTAGGCTGGTACCACTGGCTCGAGGCAGCTCCAATCACAACGCTTCATCTTGAGACGTTGCTGCTCGCTTGGGCTGCGTGCGCAGAAATTTCATTTTTCAGTGCTTTTTTCGCTATTATTAATAAACAATGTTCCTAGGCGACAATCTTTCTCACTCAAAAAATCATTGATCACATGTTCTAAATGTGTGTAAAGTTTCATGACTTTGGCTGCATTTTTTCCTTGGGTTTTGCAGTTTTTTTTGTGATTTCCACAAGATCACGGGTTAAATGACCACTTTTTCAAAAATTCATAATAAATTAACCATATTCCCCAGCAGTCTGAAACTTTGCACACGCCTTTTCCATCATTTAAAAAATACGTAAAAAATAAAAGAGAAAAATGGCTCCTTTTATTTCAAACCCTCCGGGCTCGCCCGATTATCCTTAATCCTTAAGTGGTCCCTCTTTTCACCTTACAATCTTACACACTGCACAGTGGCGCCCTATAGGTTGCGTATAGAGATGTAAAATGACCGTCATTTCTTAAATCGCGTCATATGACCAAAAAATGACGGTCTTGTGGCGGTCATGTGATGCACCAATTTTCCAACTACAAACGATTGTCACAAATCATTTGTAACCAAATTGTTGTCAAACCATCTATATAGTTGCATAATAACGGTCATAACTAATTTCCAATTTGTGACGGTCATGAATAAAAGAAATAGTTTCATCTATATGGATGGAAAAAAAACGTGATTTCCATTTCAAAATGCGGATTAGGCCAATACAAAAGGAATTCACCTGAAAATTGACTGAGAAAAAAATAAAGTTTCATCTATAGAAAAATGACTGTCATTTTTTCTTGACAAGTTCTGACGGTCACAGAAGGGTGAGGGGGAATTGTGACAGCCGTCATGAACGCCTCGTCATGTGACCGTCAATGACTAAGGTGTTTCGTCTGTAGCTAGATCACAGGGGGATAATATGGGAGGGGAGTGTTATTGTTCTCGAGCCCTGATTCAATCGCTGAGCACGAAATTTTCCAATAGTCAAGTAACTATTTAAGTGTGCATTTGAACATTTTTTGAATATTGATTTAATTTATCAGATTGATTGATTTTTTTCTCATTACCTACGGGTGTCAAATAATTTTTATTGGATGTTTTTCTAATTATCGAAAGAATATTAAAATGCGTCTCGAGTTGGTAAACCTGTTGTGTGTTTTCTCTCTCTCAGTTCCATGGTCCAACCCATAGCTTTCCCATGATGCTCACTGACATTCGAATCAGGCGCCTGCGCGTGAGGGTGTAATAGACCTTTTCATTCTGGAAATCTAGGGGAAATATTTATTTCGTTCATTCAACGAAAAAATCTCCGAAAAAACCATGGAAAATTCTGATAAATATTGAACTTTACAATGATATACACTTGAGCGCTCAAAAACCATGATTTATATGTAAATTCGATAAAGTGTCCTAACATGGGAAAAAAGTGTCCGCAAATCTAGTGACTCTCAGAATAAAAAGGTCTATTGCCCCGAAACTCATAATTTTCCGAATCATTTGTTCAAATAAGTTTCTTATGAAATCTGAAGAAAATCTAAAACTTAGACGTGTTCTCAAGAAAGATTTAATTTATCACCCACTAGTTTTTCTTCAATAGTTCATAATTTTTTTGGCTGCTATGGACATTCCCTAATTGAGAGTGGGGTAACCTCGAAGGTTATAGTCGGAGGGGTTACAAAAACATCCAAATTTCATTATTTCTTTCCTTGAGGCTAGAATTTGAAAAAAATATGCAAGAATTTTCAATGATGCACCATACTCAGAATTTTCTACCGTGAATTTTCCTTTTTTTTCATTATTTTGACTTTTCAGCTGAAACACCGTAAGGGGGTCTCCTCCGTAATATTCGCCACAAAACGACAATGTGTTAGCAAACTGAATATGTAATATAATAATCAAGACTGGTAAAAGGAAAATTGTAAAAAAAACTCTGAGTAGTTTTAACGTTTCGTTCGTTTTTAATTAATCATTCAAATCCCGGCTTACACATGGGCTTTATGAATGTTATTTTGTCCCTTACCACTCACCCTCTTGACAATGTGCTAGCTAATAAAAGAAGCTATATTTATCTATATTAAACTTTCAAAAACACGGGCATGAAGTCTCATCGAGCTTTGCCGTTAATTTATTGTATAAATTATCGATAAAAATAATTGGCGCGATATTTGTCAGTATCCAACGGACGCCATGTTTGATGTTTCGTCTCTCGAAAATTACCTCACTAACTTCACCATTTAAATGGTGCCTATTTATTGGCAAAAAAAGAAAATACCAAGCTATAAATGAGATCAGATTCCACTTATTTTGTCATTCTTTTTGAATTTCCTCCTCATAGTCACCGTCTTCATTATTTTATACTGAATTAAAAGGAAAAAAAAAATTCAAATCATTTTCAGAGAAGTTATCCTGTACACCATTATTAACCAAAAAAAGTTCCGTTCTTGCGTTATTGTGAAGAAGTTTAGTAGAAATTAATAATTTCCAAATCCTTGCCCCTTTCGTCCAAGACCTGTTAATGACGGGGTCATTCAAGTATTACGTCAGTATAGTGTGTGTGTGTGGGGT